GCCCCCCCCCCCCCCCCAAGCCATAAACCTAGGGGAAACACTGGTGTGTGTGTGTGTTTGAGTGAGTGTGTGTGAGAGTATGTTTGTGAGTGTGAGTGTGAGTGTGTGTTTGAGTGAGTGTGTGTGAGTATGTTTGTGAGTGTGTGTGTGTGTTTGAGTGAGTGTGTGTGTGTGTGTGTGTGTGTGTGTTTGAGTGAGTGTGTGTGAGAGTATGTGTGTGTGTTTGAGTGAGTGTGTGTGTGAGTATGTTTGTGAGTGTGTGTGTGTGTTTGAGTGTGTTTGAGTGAGTGTGTGAGTATGTTTGTGAGTGTGAGTGTGTGTTTGAGTGAGTGTGTGTGTGTGTGTGTGTGTGTGTGAGAGAGTGTTTGTTTGTGCATGAGTGAGCGTGTCTTGCTCTCAGTTTCTCTCATGCGATGAAAAGGCCTGTTGAGACACAGAACCTACCTGCTGTGTTCATGACGTGATCTGTGTGCTCTAACAGTGTAAGAAGCGGTTCAGTTGTGGGGAACAGCAGGTCTGGAGAGCGTCCTGAAGCTGTTTGCTGTGAAGGCCTGGCGTTGCTCTAGTGAGTCTGGGAGCAGTTTTAGCCGGAGGCACGACCATTCAGCTCTCTGACGACACCAGCTATTATGACTTGGCAGTTTATCTAGTTAAGTGCATTTGTAAGACGCTTTGATGCCAAGTTTTAGAAAAGCCTCTTTGAGACGAGTTATGACGCACAAGCGTTTTACAGTTGTTTCCACTCATTTGAGCCAAACAGCTCCAGAGTGAAGCACTCGGTGGCTTTCTGAAGAACAGATGCAGCAGATAACCGCTGATGGCCTGACCATCGGCTGCATGAACTGCGCAGTGTGTAGCAGCAGCGGAACATGAATAAAACATGTCTTGTGCTGCGTTTTTGACGGCACTTGTTTTCCTTTGCGGCAGTAATTGTAATCATGAGACGGAGTAAAGTGAGGGAAGCACAGCTGAGGGACCGTGATTTGGTTTGTGCTGTCTGTGAACTCGGCCATCACTAGTACTTCCTCTAATGCTAAATATGATGTGAATGAAGTGTATGTAAATCTAATGTAAATGCTGTGCTGGTGCTTCACTGTGGGTTTATTTGCTCTCGGTCACTGTATCTGAATCTGAGTGACTGCAGCACAGTGAGCGGCGTTCGTTTGCAGAAGTGTGCTGTCTGACTTGAGCCGTTATAACATGCTCTCACAGCTTCTTTGGTTTTTTTGTTTAACCAATTTTGGGAGGAGCAGAGTTTATGTATGCGGTTTATACAGGCATTTACACTTAGCCGAAGGCGTCTTAAACCACCTCCTGAAGTGCTTTGAGTGATTGAATGGTGTGTCAGAATGCATTTACACCTGGTGTTTTTGTGACCGGATAGTTATCTGGTCAGAGAAGCGTGTAAACAGGCTCTAAGTGATTAGGGTTTTCTTTCACCTGCAGGAAGACGAATGTGTTGTCGTTTGTGGAGGCTCTGTAAGCAGATGTGTGATGTCCGTCTGCTGCTTTCTCTGTGTTTGTGTGTGTTGTGTAGCAGCTGTCAGTAAGTCAACACGGCTGCTATAAATACATCTGTTCAGCTGTTTGTATTGTTGGGGACGGAGTTAAGCTGTGGGGGATTTTACAAAGCTATTTTCTTCTGTTTGTCCTTTTAATGGTTGTCAATTAATCTGATCCCGTCCAGATAATCTTCATGAAGTGGCTGAAGTGATTCCCTTTTTTCTGCTTTCTATCAAACCAGTGAGATGCACGCGTTTCGATTCAAGCGGTCTGTTTTGACACGTTACGTAAAGCAAACACTAGTGAAGTTGAAGGTCGAAGCGTTTTCCTATTGAAGTTACGCACAGGAGGGTACTGTACAGCAAATCCATGGCTGAATGGAAAGTGTTTTATTGGCTGCTGGCAGTGAGTTTGAGCAGATATTGATGTGTGAGCCAGTGAGTCTTTATGGCTGTGACATCGGCGTGGGGTTTTCCAGTCACTGCTTTAACAGTTTTAGTATTTCATTAGAGCGACACGTTATGTCACGTTCACTAACTCTTTAGTTAGTGTGCAGATTGAACAGCGTGAGCAGTCTCTGCTTTGACCTGTACCTGGTCTTTAAAGTAGACTCAGACCTCTTTTTAGTTTTGATATTGTGTCATGCTGTAGTTCAGACTACACAATATTTTTGTCGGTCACGATAGTCACTGTGTCAGATTACATGATTTTGACTCCTAAAATATTGTCGTGTCGTGGACAAGAAACATGTCAGACTACACGTTACTTCCCGACCATTCATCGTGTGCCGTCTTTAATGACGCGCGTGATATCAGAAGATGGAACTAGCGACTGACTTCCGAAAACAAGAGTGTAAACATTGCTGAAGCGCTTCCGCTATCGTTTGCCAGCATATTTCTTTCTTTGTTTTGTCGTGGTAGTCCCTCGATGACACATCATACAGGCAGGAGTACTGTTGCCACAGCTCCACGAGCCTTTCCTCCATCTCATAATTCCACCTAGCAGCACCATCATCTCTCTTTCGTTTCGCCATGTTTGAAACCTGTGTATGAAAGAGCTTCCGTGCTGCTATTGGTCAACGTCACCAATGTGACAGAAGTCGTCGGGGATGACGGAAAAAAATTAAACATGCTAGTCTTGATGTCGTGAAGCATCGCAGACGCGGAATCGGCTGTCGTCCACTATGACACACTACACGAGCTGAAACGATGGAATCTTGCGTCCCGACGCCCATTGTCATTTACGAATCCCCACGACACCCTACGTCAAGCAAATCGTGGCAAAATCAGGCTAAAATCGTGTAGTCTGAACCGGCATCAGTCTACCTTTATTCAAGTCACCTTTATTTATATAGTGCTTTTAACAATACAGATTGTGTCAAAGCAACTGTACAGCATAAATTAAGAAAATAGTGTGTCAATAATGCAAAAGGACAATGGTAAACACAAATTTTTCAGTTAAAGGCAGTTCATCATTGAATTCAGTGATGTCATCGTCCAGCTCAGTTCAGTTTAAATAGTGTCTGTGCAATCAAGTCGACGATATCGCTGGAAATGAAGTGTCCCCAACTAAGCAAGCCAGAGGCGACAGCGGCAAGGAACCAAAACTCCATCAGTGACAGAATGGAGAAAAAACCTTGGGAGAAACCAGGCTCAGTCGGGGGCCAGTTCTCCTCTGACCAGACGAACCAGCAGTTCAATTCCAGGCTGCAGCAATGTCACATTGTGCAGAGGACTCAACTGGTTCCTGTGGTCTTGTCCCGGTGGCCGCCTGAGACAAGGTCTTCACTGGGGATCTGTATCTGGGGCTCATCTAGTTGTGCTGATCTCCGCTGACATTCAGTCTACCTTACATTTACACTCGTGTTTTAGGATGCCAGACAGCTGGAAGAAAATAATCACAATAATAAATAAAAATTGTTATTGTTAATCTGAAGGCCGTAATATATTGGCATAAAACAACTCCACCTAAAATAAATGTTTATACAAGTTAATATTTCATAAGTGTATTATTTGACTTTATACTACAGTAGTGTAAAATGAGAATACTTTTGTCTAAACCACCGGCTCA